AATTTGGGTTCCCTTTCTTTAATAATTTTGATAGAAATAGAAGAGCATATTTGAAGTTGCAGTTTTTTACCCGCTTTTGTTCACAATCGCATAAAATTCGCAGTCTGGTAATAATTTACTTGGTCGATTAACTGTCGCTTTACCGTTCACGATTGCTTTCAATAATTCGTATAATATAATCGCACGAATAATTTCTGAAAATTGTTATCTAACAACACCGTTACACGCATCGACGGTACAACCCTAATTTTCATTTCAATATTCCGCGGCGAATAATTGAGCAATCATTAAATAGAAGTTTCCCGGAGAATTCGTCTGATCGTCTTCGCAGCTGGAAGACATAAATCTATTCTCTTCTTAACGCAGTACTTAACGCCTGAACAAAAAGGTATCGCTCGCATCACGATGCTCTCGCTTTGAACGTCCTCGAGTGTTCTCTTGTGGGTTGAAGAGTTCTAGGGTTCACAAAAGAACACAGTAACCTCTTTTACTGCCGTAACTTACACTAGCCGGTTCTACAGTATTTTACGCCTCTTGCTACAATGTCGAACAAAGTTCCCACCTTGTCCGCAGCGAATTCAGTATCAATGCTGGTGTAGTAAAGCATTTCCCGAGTCTCCGAGTAGCCTAACAGCTCGCAATCTATTTTTTGCCGGCGTCGAGTGGCTCAGAGCGTGATGCCGAAGGAAATCCGCCAGAACAGTCAGCTGAGAGTGCAGGGATTAAATGTCTCGATAGCTATTCCCGATGTCACAGAGAACCGTCATATTCGCGTGTCAGCCTAATTGCTTTGCATCCCGATAAAATACTCCGCGGAAACGGAGATAGGTTCTCGTCGAGTCCTCGGCAGGCTTTTTATCGCGATAATCGACCGGTCCGCGGACCGGAAACAGAGCTTCCTTCGCGATGATCCCTCGAACGTGGAACAACGTCCCTTCGCGTGCCGAAGGGCGGCCGTCACGTCTAAATCCCGACGTGGTCTCCCTTCCCCCGTTCCCTCCCTGTCGATGGTAATGCTCGTTGCATCCGTAGGTACCACGCACTCGGTCCGCTATTTTTGTCGGCGGGCCGAACAGTTGCTAGTAGACACCCTCTTGCGAGCAGCCGGAGACGGGACTGAGGAGCCGAGATACCCTCTCCGGCTCTTGGCGCGTGCCCGGACACGCTCGGAGCCTCATTAGCCCTTGTCCTCGAGGAAAAATGATGAATGGCCCGATAAGAATACTACTCGAAAGCCTTTCGGAAACAACGGCGCCACGAATTTCTCGGTCTAGCTTCCTAGCTGACGGGAATTCCTCGGCGGCGCGACCCCTTTCTGGAAAATTCTGCCAGGCACGGTCCATGCTCCAGCTTTTCCGATCGTTATTCCTGCGAATTTGATAGAGAAAATGGGTTTAACATTCGCGCGTCGAGACTTTGTTACACGACTACATAGTTTCTGATAATTCATTCCGATTTCTCATATGGTTCATTAAGGTTTATAGAGAAGCTAAGGAAGAAGAACTTAAAACAAAATCTTACGATAGACAAATAAAATTATAGATAATCTTGAATACGTTCAGCTTTATTTTTGTCAAAGTTAGCCGTTAGAGTGTTAAGGACTCAAGTTGCAAATGAACGCATCAAAAGATCGAGATGTATTCATCGCAACGGCAGCCTCTTCTCTAAAAATGGTCCTTCTGATAGCCAATGAACAAACGCAAGAATCAATTATTATACAAAATTCAGATATCAAATGTTCGAAAATAGATCCACACGGTAACCACAGCCGAAGACATTGCCTAATCGTCCGATCCACTCCGTGTACCAAGGAACGTAACTTTCTCGGTCGCCTAATTAAAACTCTTCGGACAGCGACAGTTCCGAAACCAGAGACATCAACCGCATAAAATTTCCGGTAGACTAAAGACCTCTTCTCCCGAACGGAAAATGTACCCGGTGGTCCGCGATCAAAGTCACCAAGCCTCTCTCCGAGGCGCGGTCATTAAAGAAAATAGACGGTCGCATAAATTGCGCGCGCCAGGATTTACGAAACGCAGGGAGGACCGGAAGCGTTTAGGTGGAACAAGGACCCACCGCGCTCCGATTAACAAAGTCCAATAAATTTCCGGGATCCCTGGGTGTCTCGTGTCAACTCGACCCTTCTCGGAGTTGAACGAACTCGGCCGGTCGCCGGGGCGACGACACCCTCGACGTCACCCGAACCGCGACGACGCCGCGTTTTGCCGTCTTCTTCGCCGATGATACCTACCTCTGCCCTTTCGGCACCCACGCGGCCCCGGGCTAATGCAATAACTGCCGGGACCCGGTCCTTTTCACCGTCTCGGGGCCAGTTACCGGCGTGGTTTATGCGCGGCCCCGGACCCACAAGGTGACGAGAACATACGTGGATTGCCACCGACAACACGGCACTTCCTGGTTATATTTAGTCCTCGAAGGAGATCGAATTTCCGACGTCTACGACCCTAGGAATCCGCGACTACCGATGGATCGGTTGTATCGGGCCTGCGACCAACCGGTGATTCACTCGAACTGCCTAAAAATAACGCCATTTTTGCCATCTTTCCCGTTTCTGTTCTATTTCGGACGCGCGTCGACTGATGGCTTATCGGCGCCAACACTTTATACCATTTTCGGGACTCGGTTCACTCGGTTTACGATCTTCCTGTGCTTTCTTATCTCTTTCCTGTCTCTGCGTGGGAATTGCTTTTTTTTCAAGCTGGCGGCTCGATGTTGCAATCGTTGCTTCGATCGTTGCGTTTCGACGCAGTTCTTTCCGAAACTTTTCGGCGAATTCGCTGAAAGTACTATCATAAAGCAGCCTTATAAAGTACCTCAGGTCCATCGACAATTCATCAATTCATCTTCTTCTAACCGATGTCTTCGCACAGTTCAGATCTGAAGACAAAGCTTCTTCTTCGCAACGGTCCCCGAAAGAAGCGATCTCCGATTTTTCTTCATTATCTCAGCGAAGACAAATGAACGTTTGTCAGTGTTACCGACGTTCTACTAGGAACATCGATTTCCCGAAGCTAGTATCCCTGAAATTTTCGGGTCTAAAACATTGGCCCGCTTTCGAGGAACAAATATAGACCGAGTTCAGGTGTCCCCAGCGCTCCGAGACTTTTTCCATCAAACGCCTTTTCTCTATCTCCTTCTCGCGGCTCGTTTTTGTCTTATTGCTCTTCTTCCTCTTCTTCTGGGTTCGTAGCTCCCTAGACCCGGGTCGTCTCCCCTGTCTCCTTAAGCTCCCCCAAGCTTCGGTGACTTGAACGCGGGGGCACGCGCGGCTCCGGGATGACGGACACGTGCGCGGCTGTGTACGCAATTGTCAAACTTTACTTACGCCCCCGCGGGGAACACGGAACATCCGTCTGCATGCTGCGCTTCTCGTCTAGCACGTGATCAATCCTAGACCGCCGGGACG